CACTTTTATTTGAACTTATACGCTTTACATTTGGAGTTCAGTTTAATTGGTTTGTTTGGTAAACGACGACCACTCGTCATTTGATCTTGAAATAAATAACAATTTCAATACTCAAACTGTCAAATATAAATGAAAATTATGATCATTTTTAAATTATCTTTTCAAGTTATTTTATTGCAGTTTCCCACAACTTGGAACAATTTATTGTTTTTTCTTTGTTACAACCCACCTTGGGGAATCACATTGAAAAATGTTAATTTTTTGTTATAAAAATAAAAGAAATTTAAGAATTTTTTTTATTGAAAATGCTGGTGGCAAGAAAGTGTTTGATTTTCAAAATTTATGCGAATTTTTTCAATAAAATAGAAATTTAGTTAGCGATCTTTGGAATTACTTTTGTAAAGTATGCGATCTTGAGAAGAGATAATCACATTTTTAACTGGATTTGATCATAGTGCAGATATAGGTGGGGGCTTAGTTATAAGCTACAACTCTCATTCGTAATTCAAATTTAACGCCCTAATTGTCAAAACAATAAAGTCATAAATATTTTTTTAATCTTTTAACTAAATAAAAGAGTTGTAAATTTGTTAAACAAATAAAATATTTGTGTTATTTAAAGTAAAAATTACAAAAATATTTACATGAAATAGTTTAAATTGCAGAAATAGTTTTCGTAGTTTTAGCATGAATGAAAATATCTCATTTAGGTGATATTGTAAAAATTATGAATGGGATTTACATTTCAAATATTTGAGTTAATAATTTTGAAGAGACACTAAATAGTGACAAAATAACGAAAAATAAATATTTAATTAAAATTTGTTTAAGTGTAAAAATTCCTTATTGTCTTGATAATTTTTAATCTCAACTTTAAACAAGATATATTTGAGTAAGTATTGCAATTTTAACAAAAAAATGGTCTTGTAAAATTGCAAAGACAAAATATCGTAGTCAATTGACTAGTCTATAGAATAATCCAAAGGCTAGTCAATAGACTATGTACTTCAGATACTAGTCAATAGCATAGTCCTAGACTAGTTTGTAGAATAGTCAATAGGCGAGTCCATGGACTATAGACTGGTCAATAGACTAGTTGATAGATTAGTCAATCGACTAGTCAATAGACTAGTTAATATACTAGTCAATATACGAGTTAATATACTATTCAATAGACTATTCTATAAAGTAGACCATAGACAATAGTCTAGTCTATAGACTATTCCATAGATTCCACAGAATAGTCAATAAACTAGACTATTCCATAGATTCCACAGAATAGTCAATAACTAGTCATATACTAATTCATAGACTAGTCAATATACGAGTTCTTAGATTAGTCAATAGACTAGTCCATAGATTCGACAGAATAGTCCATAGACTAGCCAATATACGATTTCATAGACTAGGCAATAGAAGAGACCATAGACTAGTTAATAGACGAGTCCATAGACGAGTCCATAGACTTGTCCATAGACCAGTCCATAGACTATTCAATGGACTAGTCCATAGGCTATTCCATAGACTCTGCATAATAGTACATAGACTAGTCTATATACTAGTCCATAGACTACTCAATAGACAAATTCATAAATTAGTCAATATACGAGTTCATAAAGTAGTCAATAGACTAGTCCATATACTAGTTCATAGACTATTCTATAGTCTATTCCATAGATTCCACAGAATAGTCTATAGACTAGTCTGTAATATAGACAATATACTAATTCATAGACTAGTCTATTCAATATACGAGTTCATAGTCTAGTCAATAGACGAGTCCATAGACTAGTCAATAGACGAGTCCATAGACTTGTTCATAGACTAGTCCATAGACTATTCAGTAGACTAGTCCATAGACTATTCAGTAGACTAGTCCATAGACTATTCTATACACTAATCAATAGACTAGTCAATAAGTAGACTACTCTATATACTAGTAAATAGACTAGTCCATAGATTAGTTCATAGACTATTCAATAGACTAGTCCAGAGACTAGTTCAAAGACTATTCAATAGACTAGTCCATGAATATCAGAAACTTTTATAGAGAAGTGTATTGAAAAATTGAATCTCTCTTTGGACATAAAACTAATTCCTAACATTAAATTACTTTCAAAACTGACGCAACTATTTAAAATCGTAAAAATAGTAACGGTTATTTAAAAAATTCTAATTATTTTCTCACTTCTTAGAAAACGAAAACCAAACGCACATGTTTGTTTTACTTTTTTTCCAGCTCATCCATAATTCTTGTTACCAGTTGCTCTGTTCTTTGTTTTTCTTTCCAAAACTGAAATAAATTTCCATTTTACTACTTAAACTTGTAAACAAAAGTTTGTAAGATATAAGAGTGTGTGTGCGTGTGTAAATGTAAACATAATGTAAGTAAATCTTAAGCTTCCAAAGACTGAATGCTACTGATTGGCGCAACAAATTCGATTTGTTGGTAGACCGGCAATAATCCACTACTGCATATACTATGAACACAGAGATACAAACATGGATTTGAAATTATTATTATTTGTTCGTACTCTTTGCAGCAGCCTGAACGTACATACATACGTACAAAAGTATTAACAAAGTTGGATGACATTGCTCACCACAAATGACATACGACAGGCTGTCAGAGGATCTAGTTTTATTGTTTTTCTTCTTCGCATTTGCAATTATTTTACAGCCTCTGCATTTGTTTGTTGTTTCTGTTATTAAATGCAAATATCACTCTCTGTATATCAGTGGTTTAAGTTGCTGTTATTTGTGTGAGTGATCAAGTAAACAACAACATATAAAAATCAAATCAACAGCAGAGCCAGTGGTTCCGGCAGCCACAGTAGCTTTTCGTATGCTGCATTAGCAGCAGCCGCAACAGCAGAAATAGCACGTGGGCGTTTGAGAAAATATCGTAATAATGATATTAAAACACGAGAGATATTGTATCTCTGAGTTGAAAATGCAATACTTGAAATAAAGGTAAACAATTTTTTGATAGAGTTGCCAGCGGATTGAGTGAAATGTTTAAGTTTTGCAAAGGTAAAATAAAATGCCTTGAGGTTTTTTTTTTTTTGAAATTGTTGCTTGTTTGTTATACATTTTGGGACCTGTGGTCCTTAGACCGATGGTTTTAATAATACTTCCTATCTAAGGATGCGTCTGAAGCGTTATTCTATTTGCTAGTAACGGTTTTTACTAGGGCCCTAAGATTTTTCTGGCTATAGTATCTGGATCGAATGGTGGGATCTAGTTTATACTACCTATCGCGATCACCCATAGATCTTTTTGACAATACTTCACTATTACTAAATGAACCGTGTGATTCTTCTGTTAATCGACTCATTTAGACCATCATCGAATGTTAAAAACAATATTCGTCGTGATGTCTGGTGAACGAATTCTTATTTAGAAACTGCATTGAGGGTGTGTCCCTAAACCTAATCTCGTAACTTATAGTCCGAATGCCATTGGTCCGCTTGCCATAATAACATTATTGGCGAATTCTCCAGAAGTTACATCAGTATTCCACATAATTCTTGAATCAGCCACCTCCTATTCGTCATTTCAGATCTTCATTCTCCTACTCCTCTAGAAGAAATAAAGGTTTCTTTATAAACACTAGGATGTTAGGATTAGGATTAGAGAAATCTAGTTCCATAAAGTCGAAACATCGAAAGTTCTCTTTTTTGATTATGTTACGTCAGATCTTTCTTCTCATTCTTCGCCAGAAGAATGTGAAGAATCTAGTTTCGTAAGGTAAACCACGAAAGTTTTCGTTCTTAATCAGCTAAGTTTGTTCCATAAAGTATATCATAAGTTTTCGTTCCTAATCAGATAACGACAGATCTCTATCCTCCTTTAGAAGAAGGAAAGGTTTCTTTATTTCCATTAGGATGTCTAAAAGATAGAGGAATCTAGTTCCATAAAGTAAACATCGAACGTTTCCATTCTTGATGAGATAACGGCAGATCTCCATCCTCCTCCAAAAGAATAGAACGGTTTCTTAACTTTCATTAGGATTTCTAAATGATAGAGGAATTTAGTTCCATAGGGAAAACATTCAAAGTTTTCGTGCTTGATCAGATAAAGAAAGATGTTCCTCTTCCGCCAGAAGAATGAACGGCTTCTTTATTTTCAATAGGATTTCTAAATGATAGATGAATCTAGTTCCATAGAGAAAACATCAAAAGTTTTCTTTCTTGATCAGATAAAGGCAGATGTTCCTCTTCGGCCAGAAGAATAAAAGTTTTCGTTCATGATCGTCAAAGGCAGATAATGACAAAAGGCTCTCATGAAGAGTTCAAATGTTGTTTCAAAACTGTATGCTTTTAGCAAATTAATCGACACACATTTTAGGCTTACCACCCCCACCCCCCAAAATAACAATAAAAAGCAAAAGCAAAGAAAACTTTACATGGCAACTTTAAACATGAGAATATTCGAATAGAGATCAATACTCACCGCCAACAACAACAACAACATCAGACTAAACCACAACAAATTCGAGCATAACTAAAAGAGTAGATAAACAAACTTTGTTGTTGTTTTTGTTGTTTATTATTGATTTGTTTTGTTGTTCCTTTACTACAACAAAGAGTATGTAAGTATTTATACAACGCACCACAAAAACAACAACAGCAACAAACACTTAATGTATGTGATTTAAAGTATAAGAGCGAGTGAGTATGTGTGGATGGATAGATCTCGTGAACTGGAAATTATTATAGCTCTTGGTAAACACTAAAGGGAGTAGTGGTGGTTGTTGGTAAGAAAACAGAAAACACAACAAAAACAGCAGGAGTTCAAATGTTCGCCAACATGTGTAAGTGAGCACCTTGTTGCCTTCAACAGCAAACAACAACATCATCATCATCGCCATCGTCATCAGCGTCAACGTTGTAGTGAGTAGGAATAATAAAAACAAATTTTATTCTTACGATGTTGTTTTTGTCTTGACTTGTTGCTTGCTGTTGCTCTGTTATGATTATTTATCCATAGAGCCAGTCAGTCAACGTTTATACCTTGACCAAAGCAGTCGGGTATTCTTAACTTTATCTCAAGAAAGAAATCGTATCAAAGAAACGAAAATTTAGCAATAAAAGGTGAAACAAACGCGAGTGATAGTTTAAGTATTTTGTTTTATTTATTAATAATAAATCGTTTTAATTAGTTAAGAAAGAAAGAAAAAAGAATTTAAATAAAACTATAATAATTAAAAAGGTCATGTCATAAAAATGGATCAAACCCTGACCACCTAAGATTAACAATTATATTCGCCTCTGCATTTTTTTGTTACAAATGAGTGATGATACTATTTGGCACTAGTGATAGTTTTGCTTTAAAGACTTTTTGTGTGTTGGAAAATGTGTAATTTGAATGATGGCCTTAACTCATCATAGTGTCAACTAAATAAAGTTTTTTTTCTTCGTTCTTCTTCTGGTTTCTGGCTGTAGAGGTGCGTCTGCCAGCCAGTGTGCGTGTCTATTTGCTAATGGAATATTATTTTAATTTTTATGTCTTTTTTTTTTTTTTTGCTGCACAGACTGCGCAAGATTTCACAAATCACTTTTGGCACTTTAAATAGGATCATCATTATTATCGCGTCCATATCAAGCAAGCAGCATAGAGCAAAGAGTGGGTTGTTGTGGTACTACATCGCTTGTTGGATTGATAAATAAATGGTCCATTGCCAGGTTGTATGATCAACAAGTATCTGTGTAAATCTTGTGAGGTGTTTGTAAATTACAAAAATAAAAACTAAATCACAACGTTTGTTTTGTCGTCGTCCATCTCTGTTGTTGTAGTTGTTATTATTAGTGTAAATTACGAAATGTTAATGATAAATGTCTATGCTTAAGTAAATATGTTCGAACGGAACTATCTACTATGATCAGTGTGTGTTTAAGTGTGTTTGCTCTATAAATAATGTTTGATAATTAAATTAAAACATTAAAAACATTAATATCAGACAAAAACCAAAAAAAAGAAGACTTTGCAATTTAAACTAAAAACATTTATTTAACTCTCACCACACGATTTCTTAATCTAAATTCTTTTTTCCCCCGATTTTTAACGGTTTAAATTTTTCTGCTTTTTTCATTTTATATGTTGTTTGTTTGGCAATTGTCAGTTGTTGCTTATGACGATCATTAAAGTTGCGTGTGTTAAAATCATTTAAAACCTATAAAAAAGTGAAAAGTTTTATAACGAAGGTGTAAGGGAAGTGGATTAAAGGACATTACTTTTTAGCCAGAGCGGTTCAGAAAAAACAATCTGGAATTTAAACTTGTCATGATAAAATGTAAGTTTTGTATTTTGTATTTAATTTTTTATTTCCTTAATGATTTCTGTTTAATTTAGTTGCATTTTTTTTGGGAAATCTTACTAAGTTGAAGTTTAATTTAATTAAGATAATTTAAAACAATTTAAAATAAAATATTGACTTAAACTAAGAAAACTTTCAGTGAAAATTAAATTTTTAGAAAAATTTCAGATTTTTAATAAAATTTGATATTTGTAATAAAATTTTAAATTTTTAATAAAATTAGAAATTTCTTTTTTTAGATTTTAGATTTTTAATAAAATATAACATTTTTAGAATAATTAAAATTTTTGGAAAATTTTGATTTTTACTTAACATAAAATCCTTTTTAATATTTAAATATTTAGCAAAATTAAAATTTTTAAAAATCGATTTTTAGTAAAATTATATTTTTTTTTTTAAATTGTATTAGATTTATATTAAGAATTGTTTGTGATTTTTTTGTAAATTGGATTTTTAGTAAAAAATATTTATAAAAAATTTGAAAAACGAAATTTTAGTGAAAAATTGAGAATTTATTAAAATATATTCTTTTTGTGAAAATTTAGGTTTTTAGTGAATATCGGATTTTTAGTCTATAGTCTAGTCTATAGTCTAGTCTATAGTCTAGTATAGTCTAGTCTAGTAGTCTAGTCTAGTCTATAGTCTAGTCTATAGTCTAGTCTATAGTCTAGTCTATAGTCTAGTCTATAGTCTAGTCTATAGTCTAGTCTATAGTCTAGTCTATAGTCTAGTCTATAGTCTAGTCTATAGTCTAGTCTATAGTCTAGTCTATAGTCTAGTCTATAGTCTAGTCTATAGTCTAGTCTATAGTCTAGTCTATAGTCTAGTCTAGTCTATAGTCTAGTCTATAGTCTATAGTCTAGTCTATAGTCTAGTCTATAGTCTAGTCTATAGTCTAGTCTATAGTCTAGTCTATAGTCTAGTCTATAGTCTAGTCTATAGTCTAGTCTATAGTCTAGTCTATAGTCTAGTCTATAGTCTAGTCTATAGTCTAGTCTATAGTCTAGTCTATAGTCTAGTCTATGGTCTAGTCTATAGTCTAGTCTATAGTCTAGTCTATAGTCTAGTCTATAGTCTAGTCTATAGTCTAGTCTAGTCTATAGTCTAGTCTATAGTCTAGTCTATAGTCTAGTCTATAGTCTAGTCTAGTCTAGTCTATAGTCTGGTCTATAGTCTAGTCTATAGTCTAGTCTATAGTCTAGTCTATAGTCTAGTCTATAGTCTAGTCTATAGTCTAGTCTATAGTCTAGTCTATAGTCTAGTCTATAGTCTAGTCTATAGTCTAGTCTATAGTCTAGTCTATAGTCTAGTCTATAGTCTAGTCTATAGTCTAGTCGATAGTCTAGTCTATAGTCTAGTCTATGGTCTAGTCTATAGTCTAGTCGATAGTCTAGTCTATAGTCTAGTCTATAGTCTGGTCTATAGTCTAGTCTATAGTCTAGTCTATAGTCTAGTCTATAGTCTAGTCTATAGTCTAATCTATAGTCTAGTCTATAGTCTAGTCTATAGTCTAGTCTATAGTCTAGTCTATAGTCTAGTCTATAGTCTAGTCTATAGTCTAGTCTATAGTCTAGTCTATAGTCTAGTCTATAGTCTAGTCTATAGTCTAGTCTATAGTCTAGTCTATAGTCTAGTCTATAGTCTAGTCTATAGTCTAGTCTAGTCTAGTCTAGTCTGTAGTCTATTCTGTACCTGCCTTTATTGAATAAAAGTGTTTAACCTTAATCGGGTCGGTACAAAAGTTTTAAAGTGTCATGTTTAAAATATTAGACCTTTATCATGAGAACTTTTATGTTTACAAATATTTCAACATTTTAGAACTTAGAAATTAAAAGAAAACTTCGCACCAATTTGAGAAAATCACAACTTAAACCTTTTCCGTTCCATAAACAACTTTTATTAAACAATTTTTTCTTTTCAAAATTCTTCGAAAATATTGAAATTTAAATGTTAAACATTTGCTGCTTAAGACTTTGAAGGTTTTATTGGGATCGTATGTTAGTTGTTGTTTTAAGATTTCATTTAAATAAATAACTACTTAGTAATTTTCAAAACCTAGCTGAAGATTCCTATAATTAAGTTATAAATCTATAATGATGATAATATTTTATCATTACAAAGCTAAAACTTCAAATTTATCAATTTCTAATTACAGGGTTTCATAGATTTGGTTATAGAGAGTTTCTTAAGTAGGTTGTAGACGAAGGTAATGAAATAATAAATCCCTTTCAAAATAGAAAACAACAGACAATTAATTTGATGTCTATACATTTTTATTATAACTTAACTTTTAAATCAAAATAAATATTAACATTAACGCCCTCTTGTTTATATAACTAGGTTTTTTTTTTTTTTTGTTTCTAAACAAGTACCCTATAATCGATATTGTTTTAAAAATTGAAATTGTTTAAATAATAGATTTAAATTTTTTCTCATTATTATTATTATTTAACGTAAATACCAAAATGCTTAGTTAGTATGATTCTATTTAGCATGAACCGAATCGAGTCGTTTAACTTAATTTCTAAATGATAATTAAATATTCAAAGATTTTTTTATAAAGATTTTTATAACTTTGTTAATTTGCCTGTAAAAATATAAAAATGTTTTAAATAAACAAGTAAATAAATTAATAGCTAAACAATATAGAAATAATAAATATGTATTAAAAAAAATGTTAAGCTAAATTTCATGGTGGGCGTTGAAAATAAATTTAAAATAATTTTATTTTACCTTATTTTGTATATTTAATTAAAATCAAAGAAAAGTAATTAAAAAAGTTTAAAAAAACCAGATGAAAAAAATCAAATTAAACAAATAGGGGAAAACAGACCAGTTTTTCTAAAAACAAATCTGAAGCGTAAGGTCATATGATCTAATTGTTGAGAAAGCTACAGATTTCTAATATTTTTAAATCATTCTTAAAGCTTTTTTTGGTATTAAAAAAGCTATTTGGAAACAATAGCCTAACTTTAATTTTCATTTAAAATACAAATTTCAAATTATTAGCAATTGGTTTTCAACATTTTCTATGTCATCAGTTAAAAGTGCTTTTTGCCGGCATCATTCGTTTTACAAATTTATTATTGACATGTCAAAAAACAAAACTCTTTTAACATGTAACACTTTATTCTGACAACCACCAAACCAACAACAATAATATTTCCTTCAAATTTAATGCCTGAAAAGTTTTCAAATCACTCCATCCATACATACCGGAAGTTTATTGTTTAAAAACGTTAAGTGTCAAAAAAGTGTTCAAACAAATAGACAAACACACATTCCCAATTCCCAGAAAGCGCCATCTATCATTTGTTTAAGCTGAGATTTGAATACTTTTTGAAGTTTTCTGTTGTGTTGAAATTTTAATCATGATTGACCGCAAAATAAGCAAATTGTTGTTGTATTTTTTCTTTTGTGAAACATAAAATGCAAGATTAAATGAAAATCTCCTGAAGAATTTAACAAAACAACAAAAATTCCCCAAAACCAGTGTTGAACTTTTTTCTTCTTCTTCTTCTCTCTAAATAAAATTTATGCGTAGGCGCCAAAATCTTTACAACTTGTATTTGGAGTCAAGTTATTTGATTAACAGCAATAGCAACACGGCATACATTAACAAAAACAACAACACCCATTTGAATTTGAAAATCTATGAGAGTATGTTTTGAACATTAACATAACTGACACATGTTTCATTGTTGTTTTTGGTTTTGGATAACAAAAAACTGTAAGTCTTAAATGTTTTACTCTCATTTTATTAAGTGAACACGACAAATGAGAGTAATCTTTGTTGGAACACATTCGTAACATTCATCTTTGGGCTGTTACATAGTTGTGTTGAAAACTGATCATTTATGTCTAGGAAAATTTTCCTCAATTTCGGTTTACACTCAAAAGGAAAATGTTGGTTAAACATATATAGATAGATAGATAGATAGATAGATAGATAGATAGATAGATAGATAGATAGATAGATAGATAGATAGATAGATAGATATATAGATTGATAGATAGATAGATAGATAGATAGATAGATAGATAGATAGATAGATAGATAGATAGATAGATAGATAGATAGATAGATAGATAGATAGATAGATAGATAGATAGATAGATAGATAGATAGATAGATAGATAGATAGATAGATAGATAGATAGATAGATAGATAGATAGATAGATAGATAGATAGATAGATAGATAGATAGATAGATAGATAGATAGATAGATAGATAGATAGATAGATAGATAGATAGATAGATAGATAGATAGATAGATAGATAGATAGATAGATAGATAGATAGATAGATAGATAGATAGATAGATAGATAGATAGATAGATAGATAGATAGATAGATAGATAGATAGATAGATAGATAGATAGATAGATAGATAGATAGATAGATAGATAGATAGATAGATAGATAGATAGATAGATAGATAGATAGATAGATAGATAGATAGATAGATAGATAGATAGATAGATAGATAGATAGATAGATAGATAGATAGATAGATAGATAGATAGATAGATAGATAGATAGATAGATAGATAGATAGATAGATAGATAGATAGATAGATAGATAGATAGATAGATAGATAGATAGATAGATAGATAGATAGATAGATAGATAGATAGATAGATAGATAGATAGATAGATAGATAGATAGATAGATAGATAGATAGATAGATAGATAGATAGCTAGATAGATAGATAGATAGATAGATAGATAGATAGATAGATAGATAGATAGATAGATAGATAGATAGATAGATAGATAGATAGATAGATAGATAGATAGATAGATAGATAGATAGATAGATAGATAGATAGATAGATAGATAGATAGATAGATAGATAGATAGATAGATAGATAGATAGATAGATAGATAGATAGATAGATAGATAGATAGATAGATAGATAGATAGATAGAAGATAGATAGATAGATAGATAGATAGATAGATAGATAG